ATTATTATTATTTTGTTTTGTTTTTATTATTTTTCATGTGACGTATTGACTTTTATTGACTTTTTATCTCTCTGGTTGTACTGTTTAGTGCACAGTGGGGTAGTTCTTCATCTGGACGCTCAACGAAGATGGAAACTGAAGCCGAGAGATTAATTCACGCTAAGGTACAATAGCCAGTATCGTCCTTCTTTTGTTTAGGGGTCTTCAAGGATTTCTTTGACCTACAGTACACTTTGTCACAGCTAATAAGAGACTAATAATAGTGCTAAGATGGCTGAGGACTAAAATAAAACGCAAAGTAAACCGACAAGAAAAATATAGAAAAAGATAATGAAGTAATGAGAAATAAGAACGAAGAAAAAAGAGATTAATAAGCGAACAATAAAGCAAACAAACAAAGAACGAAAGAASAAAAGAAGGAAGAGGAAGGAAACGAGAAAGAGCGAGGGACGAGAAACAACAAGTAAGGAAGAAATAATAAGAGTGAAAGATAAAAATTTAGAGAAAGCGCGCGCGATAAAATTAGAATTACTGCTCTTATGTGCTAATATTGACACTATACTTATGTGTGTAGGCATTGCTGCTGGAAGGACGGTGGATGGAAGAGACGGCACACTACGAGCCAAATCCTATTCTTAAAAAACTGAAGGTATAGCACCGACATGGCGACCATGACGTAACTTGGAAACGAAGAATTTGCGCATACTGAACAGACGTTTTTATTTTGATAGGAAGTGATAGATCTTCACACTGACTGGGAGAACGGTCACTTTTACATCGGAAAGTACTACGATCGACTGATGCTGGCTTGTCTTGATGGAGAGGAAAAGACCAACAAGCTATCTGGAACGTAAGATCTGCTCAGGAAATCCTCCCTTTGAGGGACACGTGTTACTCGCTTTTAACTGGTTCCGGGTCATGATTGGCTCCTTTTAGATTGATTAACATCATCATCATCGTCATCTTTGCCGTCGTCATCATTATCGTCATCATAATCATCACCATTGTCATCATCATCTATGCTGTTCTTCGTTATCGTCATCATCTTTGCCGTCGTCATCATCTTCATTAACGTCATTATAATCATCATCGTCATCATCATCGTCATCCTGATTTTTGTTGACTTGTGTAACGGGGTGTAACAGTAGCGCACCCTCCTCTACCGCATGTGATCACTGGACTCAGCATCAAATGCGAGTAGAGTTTGTTTCGTCTCTCATTTGATTCCAGGGTTCGGTTCTCCAGTTTAATTTTCCTCCCTCCACAAAACCTTACACGCTAAATTCAAATTCGATCTGTGAGTTAGTCGTGCCCTGACTTAGATCATCCCAGAGGTCGTTTCATGGTTCGATAACTGAATTGTTGTTTGGTAACACATTAACTGTAACCTTGGGGTTTGAAGAGAGAGTTTCATGACCAAAGTATCTAGAAAAAGGGTTCATCCATTCAGGGCCTGGTTGTTCAAAGCTGGATTAGCGTTAATCCAGGATTAACTCTATAGGTCTTATTAAGAGTTAACCCAGGATTAGCACTAATCGGGCTTTGAACAACTGGGCCCTGTCTATCACACATATCACACATCTAACTCTGATATATTGTGAATTGTTTTTGTATTATTCTAGTGAGTTCATACCATTTGTAGTAAAGCACTACGGTACGTCTCTTCAGTATGGCAACAAGTTTATCTACCAGTCCATGCCACGTCTTCTCACAATATGGCTGGACTTCGGTGCTAAAGTACCAGACCAAGGTAACACTTGTTTTTTTTTATATCATTCTCACTTTTCATTATCTTTCTTTTTTAACATGTTTAWAGTGCTAGAAGGCACCTGTAAACGACCCGAGGACTATAGGGAAATTATATAAGAAAACAAAGGCGCGCGAAGAAAAGAATGTTGCAGTACTTTTTTGCTCGGTTTTCGATGTCTTATCAGCCATTCCGAGGTTGAGAAAAAACTGGGTCGAGTTGGTATTGCAGTGCATTGTGGGATTGTTTTAGGGAACGATATA